CTGGCCGCCCAGTGATATCTCAACATTCAGTCAGTCTGGTCCTCCCGGCCAGTCTCCTGCATGCTTTCCACGTGACTCTGGCCAAAGTTTCTCCTAAAATGTGCAGCTGATCCTCCATGAAAACTGTGTGCACCCCATAGCCAATTCTGAGGGCCCCTTTGTACGACTGACTGTTTGCTGTCTTCCAGCTCCCAGCTGGCTCGTAAGTGGAGTTTTGTACCCTGCAGAATCTACCAAGGCACTCTGTAGCAAAGCAGGCCTTCCATCCATCTCGGGGAACCCAGCTGGTCACCTTGCACTCAGCCTCTGCCTGTCACCTCAGGGCTGGCATTTGGGAGTCCTGACTGCATGCCAAAGGTTGTTAAGTGGCTCTCTCTGAACTCATTTGAACAGCTGAGTAAACTGTTCTTGCCTTCACAAGGAAAAGAACTCCTGAAGTTATTAGAACTCACCAAACCAGTTTCTTTGTTTTTGAAGAAAGCAGGTAATGTGGCTTTGCCAGCAAGAAGCAGGCCTTGGGCGTCCTCCTTCTCAGATGTGTTTACTCAGGAGAAGGTGACATTTGGAAAGGGGCAGGTGTGTTTGCTGAACTGAGCTTCAGCCTAACAATTCCGGAAAACTTCCTGAGACTTTCTCTGCCCTGTAATTTCCCCACTGTTGATGGAAGTATATTGCAGTCTCATGCAGGACTGCGAAGGGAAAGTCACACTCACTAGATCACTTATGTACCAAATTCTGGGGAACTTTTGGTGCATATTACACTTTAGATCTCTTTCCATTAATGGTAATCATTGAAAATATTATCATGGAATAAAATCTACACTTTAGTTAACATAACGTACCAACGTTGTTTTCTTAGTTTTGCCGACTCTCCTATGGTGACATAAGATGTTAATGGGAAGTGGATGGGTGCAGACCATATACAAACACTGCTGTCTTGGCAACTTTTCTCTGGGATTATTTCCAAATAATTATTTCCAGATAAAAAGTTTATTTTTAAAAAATGATCAGCTTCCCCACTTTCTCTGTGCAGTGCAGTATACTAAGTCCTTTCCAGACACTGTGCCATTTGCGTAACACCCTGCATGGGAGATGTCATCCACATTTCACCCAGAAGGAAATGTGGTTCAACAAGGCCCACACCTACAGCTGAACACACCCTCACAGCAGGGGTGTCACCTCAAATTCGGATCTTACCCATCCTCATCGACAGGAGCCAACCTGTGCTTCCTGTATCACGGCAATAGAGGAAAGGCGTGGGTACACATACATGCACTGAACACACACACGTGCAGTTTGTCATTCGGTAGCCAGGGTGAATCCTTTCTTAATAAACTTTCCTGTGACCCATTCTTCTCACTGAATAGATTCAGCCAGAGGATTGCCTGTTCTGCATAGGCAATGATGGCCCATGTGTGTCCTCAGGGACAGAATTGGCAGCGACGCTCCATGCCCACCCTGGATGTGACACCCACACCTGCGAGAGGACCCGGCCCTCTGTGCCCTATGTGCCTGCCTCCTCCTTTGAGAGTACAAGTCCCCCATGGACAAAGCCTGCCACTCACACACTCACCTACTCATTCATTCATTCATATATTCCTTCATGCACTGCTTGTACACTAAAGAGGCAAGAGTTATAACCAGTCTATGACATGCAAACCAAGGAATCATAGACTGTAAGGACTGTCAGAGGCACTGCAGGGTTGGTTGTTGCAGAAGAGGTATTCATCATGATCACCCCAAGAAGTACTTAAAAAACAGATTCCTAAGTCTCACTCCTAAAGTTCCGATTCAAGAGCGTTGGATAGGGCCTGGCAATCTGCATTTTTCAAAGCCCCCTCTAGTTCCCAAGCCTAGTGACTCTGAGGCACCGCCAGCTTTGGGGTTTTGCTCCACAATAAATCCTGTCTGGACATGGCCAGTCAGTCTCTGCTGGAGCACCCCGGAGGTGAAGGAGCTCCTGACCTCACAAGGCAGACTCTCACTGCCACGCTGCTCTTAGGCTTCGGAAATCCTTTTCTGCGTTCAGACGTTGTGCTTCTTGGGAAATTCACTCCATTGTTTCAATTTTGTCCTCTGATTCCACTAAGAAGATGCGTATGCCCTTTTCCACAGGACCAGACTGCAGGTACCTGATAGGAGCCATCATGCTTTCGAAAGTCTCTTCTCGTCCAGTCACTCTGTTGTGATGGAATGCATTCTCATCCCATTTCACACCTGAAAGTCGAGTGTGGCGTAGTGTTCTGCGAGAGTGCCGAACCTTGAATTTTGAAGGAGCCACCCTTTTCCAGGTTCTGGGCTCTTTTTAATGAGGCATTTTAGGGCAAATGTTCTTGACCTTGGCTACACTTTGGAATCACCTGGGAAGTTTAGAAACTACCAATGCATTGCTTCTACCCTTCAGAGACTCTGATATAACAGGGCTGGGTTGTATCAGGCTGCTCAAGGTGACTTCAACGAGGAGCCAATGTTGAGAGGTGCAGATCTAGAGAGACACTGCTCTCTCTCTGTGTTGGTCTATGGCTCATACTACACTCATTCACACTCAGCCTTTTTCCCTTGGAACTCCTGCCACACCAGGTCCTCCTCATCATGTTCTTGAGTAATTGATTAGCTGAACTTCACTGCAGCCCTTTCCAATGATCCCTGACCAGTGTTGTGTATTTGGGTTTGGGTCTATTGTTGAAAGGCTGCAACAACCAGTGCAGGTCCCACTGATGGAGCTGCTTGTTGACTATCTGCTTTCTCTCTAGCTTTGAGAACTTTACATGCTTCTGGTGTCTTTCTGTAAAACATGGGTTAAATTATGGATCTTAGAAAGATACTTTACTGAAAACCCTCTGGGAATCAAATTATATCAACTGCTTTTTAAGCAACTCAATACTCTTTCACAGATAAGGTAACGACTCATGGTCATGGAAGATCCATGCATGCATACGGCATTTATTCTGAAAATGAGTCGTATTAGACAGCTCTCTGCATTTCTCTCTGGTGGCATCCTCCAATGGGGAAGCCAGCTGAAGCCGCCATGATGGGCTTTTAGGGTACTGCAAACTGATGACATTTCCTATGTGTGGCCTCTCCAACCTTATTAAATCAACTGCCACATGCACTGAGACTGCTAGAGTGACGTCAGCTCAAGAGGCCGTGAGCCTCCAGGAAGATGTGCCTAAGACAGTATTAACACATGTCTCGCTGGCCAGAGAACAAACTGCCAAATGGGTTCTCCAGAGTTGTGAGGTCTTTGACCCCATTATGACAGCATCATTCAACTTTGTATGAATGATGAGACACGAGGCAGGACACACGTGAAAGGTTCTAGGACAAGCTTGGGAAGGTAAAGTTACATTTGCTAGAATTTTTATTTTTATTTTAGAGACAGGGTCTTGCTCTGTCACCCAAGCTGGAGTGCAGTGGTGCAGTCATAGCTCACTGCAGCCTTGAACTTCTGGGCTGAAGTGATTCTCCTGCCTCAGCCTCTCCAGTAGCTGGGACCACAGGTTTGCATCACTACGCCTGGTTAATTAAGTATCTTTTTGTTGAGACAGGGTCTTGCTATGTTGCCCAGGCTGCTCTCGAACTCCTGGCCTCAAGTGATCCTCCTGCCTCGGCCTCCCAAAGTCCTGGGATTTACAGGCATGAGCCACTGTGCCCGGCCAAATTTTTATTTTTAATTTTGAAAAGTGACATTTCTCTTATATTCATAATACCAAGACTCTAGATAACGTGGCATTTTCAATTTTTCCCATTTCCAGCAAGGCTGACCTTGTAACTATTATTTCTCCATTTCTGGCTATGCTCTCCCCACTGGGGCCTCTCAGTAACACCTGCCACCTCCTTCTCTCAAGGGAAGGAGAATTGCACTGAACTATCCTCCAGGTATAAAAAATGTACAAAGCCGGACATCACTTAGGGGGATCAGAGAGCTCCCGCTGCCCCAGCACATTGGCTTCACGACACAGAAAGCAGCTCTGCTTAGCTATTCAACTGACACTTGAATGCCGCAGTCTGGGATCACCCGAGGCAGGACAACCTCACATAGCGCTCCTTCAGGCCCTATGGTCACGGAGGGCCCCTGAGGCCACTCCAAACCAAATTCTCACTGGTAGTGAGGATACAGCCCATAATGGGTTCTATTTCTGCCAAAAACCTTTTGCTATTTTCTCCTGGCATTTTTCAAATGCATGTTTAGTAGACAATCAACTCCCCATGTGTCTCTCTCCATATAATTGTCTTTAAAAAACTGCCATAGGAATTGTCTACAAAACCGTCTATTTTAGGTAAAAGTGCAGCAGATTCTGCATGTGACAGTCCACAAAGCTTTTCCTGTTTTTTGTACCTCCCTCTTCTCTCACATTAATGTTTCATCTGGTATTTAATGGACAGGCTTAAGATTATTTTTAACCAATCTGCTATTGATGGACACTTAGGTCATTTCTATTATTTTAATTATTCATTGGATGTCTCTGTTCAAATGGCATTTCATGTATTAAAACAGATCCTTCTAGTTCAAGGTAAGGTAAAAGTGTGTGTGTGCGCGCATGCACATGCTACATAGATCCGTTTTTCAAAGCATGTTTTAGACACTGGAGTAGAATACGGAAAACTGCACAAGGCATATATGTACTTCATAAATGACTTAAAGCAAGCACCAGTAAAATATTACCAGCACTCCTCAAAGCCTTTCTAAGCCCCTACTCTTTATAAACCCTATTTCCCCTCCAGAAGTAACTACTGTCTATTTTGTGATAATCATATAATCATTGTAAGAGAGGTAAAAAATCCATCTTGAAGAACTGCAAACCAAAGGAAAGAAACTGTAAGCGAGATCTAAGTGCATGTTGGATTTCACTGAAAATCATTTGAAGGCTGGTTTGTTTTAAGCCAGTTTCCTGCCCTTCATCTTTGTTCCTGCCTGCTGCTTACCAGGGACAACAACATAAAAATAACACGAGAAAGAGGGAGGGAGAAATGTAACTGGGAAGTAGAAATGTACTCACCACAGGGCAAGTCGTTGCTCAACTTCCTTGAGAAAATTGGTATGAAATTTGTGCAAAGGTTCAAAATTCGGGAATATGAGACTTTTCAGCGTTTCTGGCATGGCGTCCTCCTTGCTCACCGTGCTCTGAAACCACTGGAAATAAGAAGACGATGCACTTACAGGTGGAAAGATCAATGGCGAGTGTCTGCAGTTCTCCAGAAGTCACATGCAGCCAAACGCACTGGGAGGAGCCATGGCTTCCTGCAAGGTTCTTGGCATTTCAGGGACACGGGGCTGCCCAGGCCTTACTGCTTCCCCTTTCTTTCCTTAGATGGGGTAAGAAGCAACCATCTGGATATTACTGCTCTCTGAAGTGTGCTACCCATCGACTGTTTAAGCCAGGAGAAATCTCTTAAACGGGGAACTACTCGAATCAAAACCTCCATTCTGGCCAATTTACTGGATAACCACTAATTTACGGCCACTGAGTATTCTGTGCTTCATTCCTTTAAGAACTTCCATCTCTGTTCCTTTGTGAAAACACTGGGCATGAAGGTGGCCAAACTTGGGAACGAAGCCACGGCCTTCACACCAAGTCGCTGCTGTGGCTGAGGTGAGCTGGGTGCACGATGCTTAGTAAGTACCTGTCCAGGGCCTAACACAGTCCACAGCCCAGAGGAACAGAAATTCACAGACCCCAATTTCCCTCCCAACTGGCTAATGCTTTCCCGGAATCCAGGGGTCAGGAAGACATCTGCAGCGCCCTGAGTTTGTTTTCGAGACTGAGCAGGACGGATTGAAATAATAAAAGGGAGTCTTCCGGTAGAATTTGCTGACAAGGCCCAATTTATTATCAAAGATAAAATGAATCTCCTGTTCACCTCCAAGGTCTCCCGTGAGCAAAACTCAGCAGTTATACTTGGCAATGGGCAAAACACGAAATGTTCTGGGCTGGTGCACACAGACAGTAAAACGTTTAATTTTCATTTTCTCTACCTCAGAACTTCCTTCTTTTGCACTTGAAAATCATCATTATGAAAAACGTTATAGCATATTCCCAATTAAATATACTATTAGCATTTAATTTCTATACCCTAGGACCACAATCCTTTCAACTGAAGTCAGGGAATCCAACATTTCATTAGCTCCAGCCTCCCCTGTAGAGCTGAGTATTAACTGAGATAAATCATGTAACTGAATGCTTTTGGGGAAATACCGCACATACCGAAGTGATAACTTCGAGATCCTTCAGATACGTTCGCTCGGTGGTAGACACTTCCTTAGCTATGAAGTATGCTTTATCAGTTGGGAATCTCTGCAAAACCCAGCCAAAGAAACAAGGCACAACAATCATTTTTGAGTATACGTCTTGGAGAATATCCTCATTAAAGTGATAATATTACTAACTTGGGATCTTTTGTTAGCTGGCATCAATGAGAAATAAAATTCTTAGTTATTCTCCTTTTTGTGTTAGGAGAATAAATAAGAATGTATTCTCCTTTTTGTGTTAAGAAAATAAATAATGTATTCTCCTTTTTGTGTTAAGAGAATAAATAAGAATGTATTCTCCTTTTCGTGTTAAGAAAATAAATAAGAATTACTCTTCTTTTCATGTGAGGAGGAGCTAGGCTAAGATAATGGATTTCCATGATGAGAATATAGTCTAGGAAGGTTTCCTTCCCGGTAAAAATTACCATCAGCAAAAGGACCAAATTAGGCAAAGGAAATACATAAAAAAGGAACTGTCTTGTCCTATGTCCGCTGGCGGAGTTGGTGTTCATGACATGGAAGTTACATTGTGGGAACACATGGTAGCTGGGTCTAAAGGGACAGAGGTGAGATCAGCTGGTGGCATCATCGGCCTCAACTCCCTTGGCGGCTGTCAGTCAGGTGGGCAGCCAGCCCCACCGTGGAGCAGGCCGGCCATCCAGCCTTGCTTTCTCTTTAAACAGTAAGTGCAAGGAGGTCGCCTGTTGTCCACCATTTTGCCGTCTTCTCATAGGAGTCCACCTGACTCCACTGCTGGGTGTACACACAACGGACTTCAAAGCAGAGACTCAAACAAATACCTGGACACTCATGTTCACAGCAGCCAAAAGGTGGGAACCGCATGACTGTCCATTAACAGAGGAATGGATAACAAAGTGTGGTTTATACACACAGCGGGACATCACTCAGCCGTCAAATGCCAGGCAGTTCTGACCCGTGCTACATACGGATGAGCCATGAAGACAGAATGCTAAGTGAAATAAGCCAGTCACAAAATGGCAAATACCAGATGATTCTGCTTATATGAGGTGCCTAGAGTAGGCAAATTCATAGAGACAGAAAGTAGAATGGGGGTGCCAGGGGCTGGCAGGAGGGGTAAGGAGGAGTTAGTGACGGATGGATGTAGTTTCTGTTTGGGAAAATAAGTTCTGGAGATGGATGGTAGGGACAGTGGCACGACAACATGAATGTACTTAATGCCACCAAACTGTACAACTGAAAATGGCTCACATGGCGCCTTTGCTCTTATGTATATTTTCCAATTTTTAAAATTCATACACACACACACACGTGCACACACAGTCACACACGTGCGTGAGCCCTCGGCCCCGTACCTTCCTGCGGCCCTCATCCTCATCGTCCGTCCTGGGGCAGGCCTGGTCATTCAGCAGTGGGCTGATCAAGGGAGAGGTCTGCTTGGTGTCCGGGCTCAGGTTGGGAGACAAGGTCACGTGGGCAGGGGCCACTCCCCCCTGCGAGTTCACAGACAGCTCGGAAAGGTGAGGGCTGCCAGTCAGGGAGCCTGTTTGGGGATGAGAAGTTTTAAAGAAAAAAAAAAAAAGGTAATTTTTTCTGGGACCTGATTTCTATTCACTACTTTCACCTTTTTCAAATTGTAAGAACTTTGACTACCCCCCATGGCAAACCTAAAGCTATTCTTTATTTTCTAGTTTTTTTCCTAAGTCAAAGCTGCCTTAATAAAGATAGCATGAGTAATTCAATGGAGCCTCCGTTATGTAATTAATTGTAACATAGAGAACTCTGCTTAGATAGCAATTAAAATAGCTGAAAAGCATAGTGTATCCCAAAATAGGAATTTCATCTCCCAACTACTGCTTATTTCTAAGAATTACTCAAGAAAGACACAGTGTCTATGTCACAATGAGACATGGGGAAATGATTAGAAAATAGAACTATACTAATAGGCATCTAAGCAACTGGTGTACTTAGGACACACTACGTCCCGTAACAATGGGTCGCAGCTAACAGAAAGGTCGAGCAACTAACTCCCCATTCTACAAAGAACAGAAGCAAGCTTGTTATACCTGGTGATGTCATTCCATGTCTCTCACTGTTTGGGACAGAAACACTAGCATCACATTACAGGCATCTGTGATCACTTCAACACGCAAAACCAGACATCATTATATTATCACCATTTCCCTTTATGAGACAAGAGTGACAGGGCACCATGAGTCCTGGGATAAAGGATATCATAGTAAGAAAGACGAAAATGTGGCTGGGCGTGGTGGCTCACGCCTGCAATCCCAGCACTTTGGGAGGCCGAGGCAGGCGGATTGCCTGAGGTCAGGAGTTTGAGACCAGTCTGGCCAACATGGTGAAACCCCGTCTCTACCAAAAATACAAAAAAATTAGCTGGGCGTGGTGGCATGCACCTGTAATCCCAGCTACTTGGGAGGCTGAGGCAGGGGAATTGCTTGAACCAGGGAGATGAAGGTTGCGGTGAGCTGAGACCGTGCCACTGCACTCCAACCTGGGTGACAAAGTGAGACTCTTCTCAAAAAAAAAAAAAAAAAGGATATATCACCCGCTATGAGTCAGCCAAGGGAGATGATATGTACAGGACACTCTTTGCCAATATACTTTTGCAAATATCTGTATCTCAACCCACTGAAACTACATGGGATATTTCAGAATATACTTCTAACCTAAGTGTTTTTGCCTAGCACTTATATTTATACTAATAAAGCAGATTTGCTAGAGGTAATATGAGGTAAGCAAAGTTAAAGTAACCTGTAGTCTTGTCTATCACCATGATAAGGAAAGACAAAGTCAGAGCTTTCTCAATTTCTCAGTCTACAGTTTCAGGCTCGCTGCTACTTGGTACGCTAAAGTTCTCTCAGGGAAAAGGGGGAGGGCAGTTTTCTGGGAGCACCCCCATTTTCCTGTCATCTGTTCTCACCCTCTGGAGTCATGCATGTGCATTTTGGAATGACAAGATGCAACAGCCTACCTAGAATGGAGCTGATGAAGTAAGGGCGGTGAATCTGATCCCAGTATAAACCAACCCTGGAGAAACCACCATCAGCCCCCACCCTTGGTGCCAGGTTGAGCAGTCGGTGGCACCACCAACACAGTGGAGGGAGAGCCACTGTACCTGGAGAATGACAGAAGGCAGATGTCCTGCCCAGGGACTACTGGTTAGTGCAATGATCCTTGGATAACAAGGTTAGCAAATGTGAGGAAAAGGCAGATTCAGTAAGCTCGCATTTTTAAATCCCTCTGCTTTTAAATCCTGTTTTTAATACACCTCACTAAAATGAAGCCTTGTGTTAGACAAAGACCCCATCACCCAAAACACCACCACACCCAGAAAACCCCGGAGAAAAAGGCCAGAAATCGCTTCACAAATGTCAATTTTATTGACACTAGTGCACAACTAAGTACAATAATTGCAAAGGAAGTGGAACTTGTCAAACAGAAAAGGTGACAATGAGTTAGAACTGCAGTTATTTCAAGGTACTACACTATTCTTAAAAAAAAAAACACAAAAAGAAAAATGTTATCACTACAAATAGGAAATAGAAAAGAGAAATTCTGGCAGTCTGTCTAGAGGTTAAAACATTTCATGCATTTGTGAGTTGCTGTTGGAGAGTTGTTTTTTGTTTGTTCACCATCATCTGGCAACATTCGGGGCTTACCTTCAGCTCTCGCACTGTGCGTGAGATCGGGTGAGGCAGTTTTAAGTGAGAGCATGCTGGACCTTGACTTTGCAGTGACGTGGAACAGAAAAAGCATTCGCCTTATCATTGAAAGAGTTGGAGCCGAGAATGAAAGGTAGTTAGAAGGCTAGTGGGAAGTGGAGCAGAGGCAAGGAAATAGCGAGTAGCAGGCCCTAGACAGCATTCGGCAACAGACAGGAAATGAACTGCCACTTGGGGCAAGGGAGAAGTAGGGTGTGCACACTCCGATCCAGCCACCTCCACTCTCAGAGGCCAACAGCGAGCCCCCGTGCTGCACTGCACCTGGGAACACTTATATTTAGGGGACAGGGCAGTTGGAAGAAATGAGGTAACAGACTATGGTTCCAGGAGAGAGCCTGCCCTGCCAAGGTGTGCCACAGTTCAGTCAGCTGGATTTGGAAGACTCCTCGCTGTGCTCGAGGAGACAGGATTCAGAAAACAGAGGGCTGAGTGGGAGCTTCAGGGTCACCTGTGTACCTAAAGTAAGGAACAGCTCAGGATCAGCCCACAGGCTGCTGGCGGAAGGCTTGCTGCATTTCACTCATGTAGCCTAAAGATGTCAGTAACAGCTACTCAATATGTGCGCCCTGCAGACTTGGAATGACAAAATTAGGGTGATCAGTTGGCCTTTTCCTAAGACACTACTCCAGCTTTGCTTATAGGGCCTAAGAAAGGACGGACGATGGGTGTGTTTCAACAGCAAGACCAATAAGCCAATAAATATCAAGCAGTCTGGTCTAGAAATCTATCAGCATTTTAAGGAAGGGAAAGGCCTGAAACTCTCCAGTTCAGTTTTGCTAATTTGAGCTGCATCTGTGGAGAAGAAGCCCCTTCTCTCCTTGTAAGATAAATAATCCGAGGCTTTGAAAATGTATAGGTGACATGGGCCAAACAAAATATGTAAGTCATTTACCTTTCAGCAATTAATGAAATATGCTGACAAGGGGGCAATTAGTAGAATTTGGCAGCTTGATAAGTAATTAAAATTCTCTTTTGACTTTGAGCCAGGGTGTGTGACAACAGTCTGTACAAACTGGTGTCCACACCAGCAGGTGTGAAGAGCTGTGTCTATAAAAAGCTAATGTCCAACGTCGCAGTTATTAGAACTACGTGGAATCAATTTTCACTGAAGTAGTCCATTTTACAAAAAAGCTAACAAACATGGTTCTGTTGTTAGGTAAAATGAGCCCAGTTGGATTTATATGGCATTATAAAGCTTGTTCACATCTTGCAGTGTGTCGCCCGCTTTGAAGGCACAGCCCCAGGCAGCGGGGAGAGGAAACTGTGACTGACACTCATTGCTACTCCATGAAATTATCAATGCCTTTGGTATTTCCAGCACTTCTCCCTTTATGAAAAATTAATGCAAAGTAATTTCTTTCATTAGGGAGCTCGAGGTAAATAATTTGGGGGGACCCTAAGAGGAAGCACCTGCTATTAAGGCAATAGGTGGAAAGAAGTTCAAAGAGATTAGAAAAAAGATCAGTCACACGCTGAAAGTCTGGAGGCTTCTGGTGTTTTCAAAATTATTTGTCCTATTTCCTGAAATTGTCTTGCAACTTCTTAGGCATTCAGTTAGATGTCAGGTTAGTAGCTCTCAAATCCTTCACCTCTTCCCTGTGATTTCATGACCCCTCCCACCCCCCGCCATTCATCTAGAAGAGGTTTGAGTTTTTGCTGCCCCCTTGGACTGAAAATGCCTCCAGTCATACAGCTCTCAAGGGAGGCATTTCTAGTAATTGCTTTATAGAATCCTTTTAAGCATACACATTCTCATGGCACAAACAATTATGGAACTTCAAATTAGCACTGCTGTATTTATGGATTTCAATTTATCACTCAGCCCAGAAACTGCCTGTGCTGCTCTATGTTTGTAATTTAAAACACGCTCATCATTCTTCCCTCTTGGCTGGTCTGGGGAAGCTGGGTCTGCAGCGTCTTGATCAGCTCTTCCTCAGAGCTGCTGAAAGGCAGTGGGAGGAGACTTTACCATCAATGAGCCAAAGCCAGGCCTTTCTTCCCGCTTTGCGATCGGGTACAAGCTGCCTGTTAACCATGTACCCATATTCTGTTAACCATGTACCCATATTCAGGGCTTCAACACAAACTCACACAATTCTGGGAAAAGAAAAACACTTCTAATCTATTTTTCAAGTAATAAAAATGGCATTTCTAGTTCTTAACTGTACCTTTCCTGTTTTTTAAATTGGTCTCCAGTTTTTAACTACATAGGTATTATTTTTTCCTATAAAGGGGGAAACTAGAAAAACTGATAATTAAAAAAATAGTAATCCAAGATATGTTTATTAAATAGCTAATATTTGAGAGTGAGAATACTGACTGAAATGAGAATATTGCTTTCTCAACTTCTCTTTTCCAAAATTTTAAAGTGCAATTATAAAAAAGTTGAAATGTTTTTTCTTCAATAGTCCCCCAAATAAAATTATTAATTTTGAAATCTTCTGGGTGCCACTTATCTACCATAATTTGTCTTCTTTTATTCTGTTCTAAAATATAGGAGATTTTATCTCTATGTGCCCAGCATATGCTCAAAAGGCCCAAGTAGGAAATATATTACAGATGGAAGTTTTCATCTATTTTTTTTTTTTTTGAAAGGCTCTATTTAAATCCATATGCTCTCTCTAAGAGGATACAATGAAGCCTCTCTAGAGATTATCCCATTTGAAAGCCAGTTATCAAAAAAAGGGCAGTATTATGCTGAATAATAGGTAGCTTCCTGAATAGGCAGGCCTCACTAGAGTCCGATATCTAGGTTGGGGCCCTGCTCAGTGGAATACACAAAGCTGGCGGTATTTTA